CACACTGTGTGTGTGTGTGTGTGTGTGTGTGTGTGTGTGTGTGTGTGTCCCTGTATGCACACATGAAAATGCATGCACATACATGAATGCATATGCGTGCATGTGTGCACGTGTGAACACACAGACACACACACACACACACACACACACACACACACACACACACACACACACACACACACGGAGAGAGACAGAGAGAAAGAGAGAATGCTTCTTTAAATGTTAAAATCTGTGATAACAAAAGGCAGAGTGAAGTATTTATACTAGCTTCCTTGTGTACTTACACACATGCATGAGAATGTACTCAGGAGATGTGTGCCCTAGTGCTCAAGGTAAAAACAAAATAACTGATGAAAAGTTTCCATAGAAGTAGTCTGGCTTTCAAAGACATGGAGGAATACTGGATCATCACTTTGTTTCCTATAAATCAATGGAATGAAGCTATGACATACATATCTAATAACATTACAGAAAAAAGTAAAATTCTACTGGGTGTGGAATGCTTTTAACCCCTTAATCCTAACACTCTAGAGGCAGAGGCATGTGGATCTGTGAGTTCAGCAGAGAGGTCCCTAGTTGGTTTCCCATGCTCCTGTGGGAGATGCCCTATCCCATGTGCATATGGCAGCACCTACTGGACCCAATAGGTTATATAATAAAGAGAAGATGTTAAGTTGGGAAGGGTTGTGGGAAGGGCAGGCCCAGGGGATGTTGGAGGAGGGGGAGTAGATATCTTCTAACTGCATTTCATTCATGTATGAAATTACTGAAGAATAAATAAAATGTTTTCCAAAGGAGCGGGGCACAGAAAAACAAGATTTGTCATATATTGGTAAGTACCAAACCCAGGTGATGTGTATGTGGGATTTTGACATTAGAAAATTCCCACAATAAAAATAAAATATGGAAAAAAAAATACGGCCAGTGAGACAACTCGGCAAGAAAGCACTGGCTGCAGAAGCCTGCTGATTTTGGTTTGATTCCTGGAACCCACACAATGGAAGGAGACAAGTGATTCCTACCCATGGCATGAGTGTGCACGCATGCACATACACAGAAATAATAAAATATAAATAAACAGTACGTAGGGAAAAAGATGCAGAATTCTAGGAAGAGAAACTGCTAAATTCAGGGGGAGGCACAGTGAGCAGAGAAAGGATAAGCTACTCGGAAGGGCATAGGGGTCATTAGAGACTACAGAGCCTGCCAATGATGTGCCCAGAATAAGAAAGAACATAGAAAGGGGGATTATGGGAAGGGTGGTTTTGTTTTTTGTTTTTGCCTGTGTTTGCATTATAGACAGCAGGGGAAGGTTGTCACTATGAGAGCTTTCTTAGCCTCCGTTTCTGAATTTGGCTTCACATTCTATTTCAAAACAAGCAGCCTTCACTCCACAAGGGGCGACCTCTTTCAACTTCAGCCTTCTTTCCCTGGCACTCTTCAGCTACTTCACAGAAGTTGTTTGTCCCAGGTAGAGTGAATTCTTCTTCTTTTTTTTTTTTTTAAAGTAAATGTACTTTTTTTTTTTAAAGATTTTATTCATTTATTATGTATACAACATTCTGCTTCCATGTATATCTGCACACCAGAAGAGGGCACCAGATCTCGTAACGGATGGTTGTGAGCTACCATGTGGTTGCTGGGAATTGAACTCAGGACCTCTGGAAGAGCAGCCAGTGCTCTTAACCTCTGAGCCATCTCTCCAGCCCAGTAGAGTGAATTCTTAAATATTATTATTATAGCATCTAAACAAGTGAGAGGAGTGTCAACTGACTCAGTTATCTGACCCAGCGAGCCTGTATGTTGTGTATGCACACTAAGTGAGGGTGCGTGTACAAGTTGATAGGGAATTCTTGTCAGTTGACTGTAAAAACAAGAATTTCAGAATGGTTTCCAGTGCCCATGAAAGATATGAGGGACCATGCAAAAAGGGCTGTGACAAATGGTGGGGGTTGGGGAGACTGCTACTGTATTTATATCTACTGACTGTGGGCAAAGAGTCAAGAGTTGGATTGGAAAGTCAAGGACACTGGAAAACCAAACTAGGGAAACTGTTAATGAGGTCTAGGGTAGTTAATGAGGTACATGCATAGACCTCTCTAAATGTTAGCAGATGTTCACTGGTGGGTGCCAGCTATAAAAGAGGCTCTTAAATGGATAAAGAGGTAGTTCTAGTGAAAGACATTTAACTTCTTGTTATTGGTGCCTTAGTACTTGCTCACCAGGCTTAATGACACAGGTTTTCTCTCCCTGAGGGTAGCAGAGCCTCATAGGTAGAAATGATGCAGGAACTTGATCTGGTACTTTTCCCCAGTGGGAACAGCTAGTACCTGTTAACACTGCAGACAGCCTACCCATGGACTCGCTTTTCCTGCCTGTGGCACTTTTGCATAAAAGATTACATTATGCTTCATCTCTGTTACAGCACCTCAGATGGTCTCATTCCTGAATAAAATGTTTATTTACAAGCAAAGTAAGGAATTCAATGGTTCTGAACTCCACCTTTATAAACAGCTTGCCTACAGGACTGATCCTGAAGACTCACTCATGGTATCTGCTGGGTAATACTTTTTGGGCCTAGAGTACTGTTTTATAGGTTACAATATAATTTATGCTGCTATTTTTTTCCTGTAAGTAGAATACAGTGACTTAGCAACCTAACATGGCTCTTTTCACTGTTATCCTAAATGATCCTGAACAATATATTTGCTCTATCTCCCTAAAATGCTGGGCTCTTCTGGCTTAGTGGTTTTCCACTCTCAGAGAAAGAATGCTTTCATGAAGAATGCAAGGCATTCACAGAACAGATTAAAATGATAAAAAGATTTTAAAGCATGGTGAAATCACTATTTTCTTTATTATTACTAGTTTAGGTTGCAATATGGAGGCTGTGAGATGGCTCAGGGGTAAAGGTGCTTGCCCACAAGTCCTCACACACCTAGGACCCACATGATACATGGAGAGAACAAACTCCTGCAAATTGTTTTCTGATCTCTACAAGTGCGTTCACATGCAGGCACAAACATACATTGTTAAATAAATGTAATTTGTATTTAAAAGCCATGATTCTGGCAATTCCCTGTCATCAAAGACTCTATGATATGCACTTGATATGTACAAGTAGCTTTGCCTATGAGGAATGGTCTTCAAATGACAGAGAAAAGCGCAGCAAATGCAGCAAACATTTACTTTGTAGTAGAGTGTACAGCTGTACAGAAGATCTAAAAATGGTGATTCCAAAGGATAACCTAAACAAGCCATTTCTACATTTAACAATCTGGGAATTCCCCCAAAGGGCCGGAAAGCATTTTCTATTTTACACCACCACAGAGCCCCAGACAATTGTAATTTCTTTTGAGAAAACTAATGGAAATTAGCAGTTCTAATCTGAGCCAATCTTGGAACGGGAGTCAGGAGATACTTTCTTGCATCCTGAACACCCTGAACTTACTTAAAGAATACACAAATCACATCTGTAAATATTAACATATTTCTTCTTCCATTTAAAAAAAATCATCACAATGAATAGATGTACACAATCCACTTTGGCTGGCTGCCAAACTGGCACTCAAAATATTGAATTCAGCAGATGCAAAGGAACTGCACGTAGTGAGATAATAACAGAAGGCAGTACTCAGAAGAGTGAAGACCACCAGAGCATAATAAACACATTGGAAAGCTCACAGAACTAAGTTCCTAATTGAGTGGCTAGAAAAAAATGTTCCATATCAATTTTATAGCAGGGAAGCTGCAAACCCTGAGCACTTTCTATGCCAGGTATAGTCCTAAGTGTTCACTAACCTCCTCCTGTGCCAGGCATGTTCTAAGTGTTCATTAAGCCCTAAAATGATCCCATGATAAGTTTGTTACTCACATCCCAATTTTATGAAAAAAAAGAGACGAGAGATTGAGTAACTTGCCAACCAAGGTCACACAGCATAAGGGCCAAAGCAGAGTCCTATATCCAATTGACTGACTGACACTATCCTTGACTGTCCACTCTGCCACATGGACTACATACTAAGGGTGGGATTAGGGGAAGTTCACAATGCCTCTTGGGTGCAAGCTTGAGAAGGCACCCATACCCCTCAACCACAGAACACTTCAAAGAAAATTAAAAATGAGAATGCAAAAATTGCATGACAAACAAAACAAAAATCTGCAATGGAGACAGGGCCACAATGACTAATTCTCCCTTTGCCCTTAGGCTACTGTATGGCTCGGCATTGTTAGTCCTGTCTGTTTAATTTTTGTACATGAGGCGAGGGGTGTGCTTAGACCTTACTAAACACCCAAATAAAATCCAAAGCAAATTAGTCCCTTTATGTTCAATTTTAAGCTTCAATCAATGATTGCTTAATGTGACCACAGTTATCATGTGAACTGCTGGTGTCAGCTCGGCGAAGCATCAACAGATAGGAGCATGGGGAAATACCACCTTGTAGAATGGATACTGAGTATTCAAAGCACTCGTAGAACAGGATGAGAAAAGAAATCCTCCCTGGCAAAAGTAAATTCTACACTTAGCCTTAATCTGTTAATGTTACACTCCACCACCCTCAAGAAACATGTATTCATGTACTAGTGTTTACTGAGTGCCTACTATGTGCCACATCTAAAGCCTGTGATCTAAGAACAATGACATGATTAGGTAGAATTTTGATACAGAAAATGTGAAGCAGAACAAAACTAGTTGTTGGTGTACACAGCTGCTTATGGGCACACACTTTCTCATTCAACCCTGTCTGTAGACTGAAAGGCAGAGCTCAGAGAAAACACACACTGTGTAAAAGACTATCTAGAAAGTGCCAGAACTAAACCCATACCTAGATCTGCTTAACTTAAAACATCACCTGCTATCAAAATATTTTAAATTTGTACAGACAAATTAAAACTAGAAAAATATGTTTACACATGGATACTATCAAAGGAAGTCACCGAGTGAATGAGGTATGTAAGTGGTACAAAAAGACCAGCTTAAGGTCAAGGGTCAAGCTTATACTCAGAAAAGATGAAAAGTTTATTTTAATCTGTCTTTGATACAAACATGGAGGACTTTCAAAAACAACTTTGCTATGATCAACTAGACTTTCCACATTCCAGAAGGTTGGTTAACGTCAATACTCCAAACCACAAAATGCTATCATCAAACATGACCTAACTCCAGGTAAAATTGAAACTAAAGCTTGAAAATTTTTATGTATGTGAATGTATATACATATATAATATTATAAAATGTATGTTAATAAAGGTTACAGTTAGTAACCTGTAAATGAAACAACTACATACTTTTTCATTTTCTCCTTTGTGCTCAGTGGCCATGCACTTTATATTTATGGTTTTCAAATAACTTTCCTACTTAAGAATACCAGATTTTGAGTTATTAACGTAAAAACTAGGTTAGCAGGAATATGAAATTTCAGTCTTGGAAGACTTAGGTCTGCTCACTAAAAAGAAACAACACACTTAGGAAGTGGTTATCTAAACCTGAAATAGTTTACAAGAGGATAGTAAATTTTACTAAATATTAGATTTATTCACAATAAGTATATCTTGTACCACTTGGTCTGAATAGTACATTTTAAATATATGACATTTATTTATTTAGTGGATGTATGTATGTGGCACATGTGTTTCACAGATCATGAGTGGAGGTCAGAGGACACAAGGGCCAGGCTTGACAGCAAGTGCCTTTACTTACTAAGCCATTGCATAGGTCAAATATAGCCCCTTTACAATGCAGAAGTAGAGGATGGAGGTTTAGCACAACTGGTAGGGTGCAGGCCAACAGCATGCACAAGGCCCTGGGTTTGAGTCCCAGCACAGCATAATGGGTCAGAACCTGTAATTTCAGAACTCACACATAGAGGATCAGAAATTGAAGGTCATCCTTGGATGAAAAGTGAGTTCAAGACTCACCTGTAATGTATGAGCCCCAATTTCAAAATTTAAAAAAGCACAAATATTAACAAGAACAAAACAAAACACTAGTTCTCTAATCTGTTAAGTGGAGTCTACTAATTGGTGAGGAAAAGACCCTAGCAAACTACTCTGGAGTCTTGTCAAACTGCTACTAAAGAGTGTTCAAGAGACCTGAAACAGCATTGTTAAGGAAATGAGCACTTACTTGATAATCATTTCTCTTAATATTTGGAACATCCATGTTGTGAGTAGAAGGACAAATGTCTTCATATTTTTTGCCAGTGAAAATATCAATTCCAACAAGGTGTACCTAACAGAGGGGGTACAGGAAACACGTTTGATCTGTGAAGTCCTAGCTCATTTTACACGGAGGCACAACCCCAACACTTATCGGAATGGATTCTTTCATCGATGTCCAAGGTCACCTTCTTTCTTTAAAAAAGTAGTAGTGGTCACAGAATTGAGATTCAGTAAACACCTGACAGTTTCATGGCATTAAAACTCAACACCCTACAGATCTCAGCATTTCAATCACAATAGTGCACAGAAAATGAAGACCAAGTCTCTTATAATTATAAGAACAGGTTTGTTTCTGCTGTAAATGAGATGTTTTCACCCACCAGGCTTCAGGAAAGTTTTAGTTTCTAGCTAATGAAACATTCTAAGGACCCAATTAAAGGAGAGCATTCAGAGTAATAGCTGACCATTCGGAGACCAAGGGATGAAAAAATTTACTTTAAACATAGAAACCTCAAAATGTACAATGGAACGCAAATGATCTTATCTGAAGCCAAAGAATGACCTGAAGGGCTTACCTTGGCATGGCCATGCTTCCCAGTCTTGGAAGTTGACATTTCCACGATTTTGCATGGTCTTCCTTTGAGCACCACGAAGCCGTTTTTGCGAAGGGCTGAGCACTGCATAGGGTAAGTGCTGGAAGCCCCTGCATCTCCAGTAGTGAAATCAATTTCGTCTGCCATGGTGGGCTGGGGAGATGTGTGTTTTTTCTGAGGGAACTATGCAAAAAGTTTGTTTGCTTTTTAGATAACGGGCATACAGGTAGGGGCATGTATCATTCTAGGGGCAGGTAACAAGCCGAGCATCACTGGCTCGTTATTTTTGTATTTCTAGGACACCCACTCTGAGTGGTGGATACTTTACCATTCAGGCCTCTAAAAACTTTTCCAGCCCTTGGTGGGAGGTGGGGAAGGCAGCCTCAGAAGATCCGCCGCGAAGTGAAGGCAACACCAGCCCTGGGCCAGCAGGTCCGATCCCCACCACCCCACCGCAAGAAGTGCCCGCGACCTTCTTGCTCCGGGCTACGGGGCCCGTCGCCTCCACCCCATCCCCGCTGCCGGGGCGTCAGCCAGGCCTCAGGTCCAGGAAAGGCTGGGATAGGAGCACCCGGTCGGCAGCACCTGGCCCTCCTCCCTCC